CGAAACAACTGTTGATAACATTGATCTAGAGGTAGGTGGCTTCCTGTACTTCTGCTCCATGTGTTCGCGATGATTGATACTTTCGACATGCTTTTCCTGGTTTTTTCACTGGCAGGAGTTGCCAATGGCGGATTGCTAATAGATCTCAGGATAAGTTGTACAGGCTTGATGGGGAACATTCATTTCTGAGAAAAAACTCAGAACTTTTTCTCAAAGAAAAGAAACACTGTCAAAAAAATTTACACTAATCTTCTGTCATTTTTCATGCTTTTTAAATTTATTTACTAGAAAATATTGGCAATCAGTAAAGCACACACACAGAAACTGAACTGCGACTTTTCTCCCATCCCTTATTAGCGTCAATCCATCAAAAGTTGTTTAAAAATTAATCAGGAAGTAGAGCTTTCTTGAAAATTCTGAAAATGACAATAAAAATTTACTAAATGTTATTAACAGCGATTCGCAACAATAACTTATGCAGCTGTGTCCATTCAGTTTACCAACTAAGCCGCCGGATCTTTTACCTCTTCGCGATGGTTTGTTGACCTGTCTGACAGATTATGCAATAAGCGTAATATCGCATGCTAAAATTCGGGATATCATACTAAAAGCTGCGACCGAATTGGACTGATGGCAAGTCGCTAGGACAAATTTCCGCAGATCCTTTCGCTGGAATTTATTCAGGATGAAACTCACAGATTGCATTTTTCGTAACAGCTGCGAAGTTGAATCATCCAGAAAGAAAGACAGACAGTCACACAGAAAAATACGTAGTCCTGGATTCGTCAAAATATGTTTCCTATTCATATATTCAAGAAAGATGCATAAAAAGAATGGTAATAACTTTTAGCACAAGTTCCTTCTCTGTTCCAACGAAACAAATCTGCGACTGCCATATCACCTTCACGCAAGTCTGGGCTCCGCGTACAAGCATATGAAAGTTTTGGCGCAAAAGTCTCGGAAACCAGAAAAGCAGGGAGGCCAAAATTTTAAACGGATGCTCCCAGCCCATGCACGACCTAAAAATTTCAAACTCAGCCCCCAGGTGTGCGTGGTTCTCATGTACAGCCTCATGAAATTTTTTGGCGGGGAAATCGCTAATTCGGGAACCGGAAAAGATGGTAGGCTAAAATTTTAGCGTAATGCTCCTTGTCCGAGTACTACATAATTGCGCAATAAACTTCTTGAATTTCGAGGACCAGTATGTCACAAATTCTAGCTACTTCCAGGCGAATTTCCAGACAAACTTACTACAGCATGAAATACTGCAAAAACGCGTGACCGCGAGCTCGCCTGGGGCACTTCGCCAATGATTTTTGATATTGACGATCTAACTGTTTCAAAATCTTAGCAAGAACGCACCGACAACTCTTGTGCGCGATGCTGCGTGATTTCAATGTTCACTGCGCTTTTTCTCTGGATTTTCAAGCATATCTTTAATATTTTTATGCACTTTTGCTGTGCCGCGCTATAGCGCTGCTACAGTAAGCTAGAATGCATATTGACGAGAGGTCGTCCGTTTGGGTATGTTTGGAAGCAAGTGAACTTTGTCGCCCAATTTCAACTCAGAAACCAGGAAAACTGGAAGGCTAATATTTTGGGGTTATATTCCTGCCTCATTTGTCACCCTCCCGTTTAAAAATATTCGCTCATATGCATCTAGAGCTCCCGTGCGGACTCCCGAAAGAAATATGCAAATTTCTTTGGCGAGGAACGATTTCGTTATCCAGACAAAATAAAGTTAATTCTTCTGTGCATATGTGCACTAAAGATTTCGGATTCAGCTACCGCACATGCCCATCCCACGCGTACGGTCATGTCAAATTTCGCAGCTGGCATTGTGCTAACTTGAAAACTAGAGGAAAACAGTAGCTGAAATTTTGTCAGAAATACTGGTTGTTCGTAAGGAAAATCGTGCACCTAAATTGGGTTTCAATTTGCAATTACGCCACGACTTCAAAGAAATTTGTTGCGAAGTCGCTATTTTGCTTAACAAACAAGCTGCGAAGCTGAAACTTTGCAAGAATATTCTATATTCAGTTTTGTCTTAACTCAGTGTTGGAAATAAAATTTCCTGCACGCAGACATAATAAATTCTCGATTTTGTTGCAGACTCAGAAGCTAGTGCATTTTTTTTGCAGATATCATAATCTTCTTTCGACTTGTTTAAATTTGCTTTTGTATGCGCTTTTGCACATACGCAAATTGCAGAAACGTAATTGGCAAGAAGCTGTGTGTGTGTGTGTGTTCGGACTTTTTGTCATCCACTTTCAACTTGAGAACCAAAAAAGCTAGAAGGCCGAAACTTTGGGAGTATGTGCCCATACAACGCGCGACCCTCCCTTTTTAATTTCATCCCCGCAGGCGCCCAAGTGCCACGTACGGACGCTTTAAAAAAGTATGCAAATTTTTTGGCGAGAAAGCGATCTCGGGAACCAAACAAGATAAGGGCTGAAATTTTGTAACTGTATTCCCTGTGCATGTGTTAGCTAAAGGCTTCAAATTCAGACCCCAGGCGTGCGTGGTACTCATATAAGGGCATATGAAAGTTTTGGCGAGAAAATTTCTTACTGAACAGCTAGGTTACTTTTAAAGAACGCCGTTAAATGGAAATTGTACATTTACTTTACGCAAAATTTGTGGTGATTTATACTAGTGACCGCAAAAAGCGGGTGCAAAGCACCAACCATTCATGCAGTTAATGACCTAAGTAATTCAAGTTCGGTGCAAAAACGCATGGTCCCACGGGCCCGCCCGGTGCGCTCCAGCCTGGCTTTCAATGAGCGAGCATTCACTGGAAAAACGGCCCGGCTTCATGTAAAAAACTAATAAGCGTGTACGCTGAGGCTCATGCAGCCCCGTAATGCAACACCTTCATCCCAGCCGTCACTCTTTCCCCCTGCATGCGGGGAAAAGCCAAAACACAGCTTTTGTGAATCCAAATGTTAAACTACACTGCAGGAACCATTTCTGCTGTTAGCGGTCTGCAAGTTTGCCGCAAAAGCGCAAGATTGCAACAGCAAGCCAGATACGTCGCAGCATAAGTTAATGTATGCAAAAACGCGAAATGAAAATCTTCAAAAAGGATGTTGTGATGATCTGTATAATTATATTGAACTGCATGCAGAAAAATGGAAGGACCAAAGATCAAATATTAATTAGCTGAGCCTCTTCTTTCCAGAACACCACCTACAGTAACTTTCTGCTCATTATCAACTATTCTCATTTGCCATCGGTCGAGGTTGCGAAATAACGGAAAGGGAATATTAGGTATGAAAAAATGCGGCAAATGCCGTCTTTAAAATTTTTGATTGTAGGTTGAAATTCTACCAAAAAGGACCGATGATGAAGCGCCGAAACTGCGAAGTACTATCTACAGTATACCGGTACGGATAAATCCAGTGAATGATGCGCCCAATTTGAAACCTGGAATTGATCCAGAGGCGCTTCTCATTTCCGGTGAATCAAAGTGAGATTTTCTTCTGTATTAAGGGTGAAATCACTTATGAGCGAACACTTTCAAATGTTTCGGTTTCATTCCTTGGTAAAATTCTTTCATTATCATGCACTGTTTCATTTTTGCGACTTTTTTGCCCAAAAACATATTCATTATTACGGTTTACGTTTTTATGCATACAAGTGAAAAATGCAAGGTTTGTGCCTGAAAATATATATGTGTTTTATCAATTTGACTTCAGAAGTACGGAAGAAAGCTGTCCTGATTTTCTAGAAATAGTGAATGTTTCAGAAGTTGTACGAACTGTTTAACCGATATATTTATCCGAGAGCCTCAAATCTGGATTATTAAACCATTCAGGAATGCGCAAACAAAATATCATACAATACATACACGAATTATAACATAATGCTTCAGCTGATGTATATGCCACCCTTCCCCTTTGTCTACCACGACCTCGAAAGGAAATCTGAAACTTAACTCTGCGCATGATGGACGGAAAGCCGTGTTCGGCTTCGCCATAATGGAGATTGACAGCGAAACCAACATAAGCGGCTTTGTCCGTCCCGCGGCCACCCCTCAGCTTCGGCGCTGGATTAAAAAACAAGAGTTTTAATAAATTTCTTCCCGGCGGCTGGAGGAAGTACTTGAGTATAGCGTATACTTGTCGGCCTAAAAGAAATTATTCCTGCTCTGACAGGAAGGACACCATGTTTGGAATATGCCACCAAGGCGGACCATTCGAGGGTTGGGATGAAAGAAGCTGTTGGGAGTGATTTCTAGGAAATCTGGTTGTGAGTGGTGGACGGCCGACGGAGGGGGCGCGCGAAAGAGAGAGGCGTTGGAGCGGAATAGTGATACACAATAGGTTTTGCCTTGCTTTTTGGTATGGATTGATAAATTGTTGATCGCTTTTGTCCCAGGGGAATTGAATTTAATAGATGCGGATGGTCTTAAGTGATTACAAAACACAGCACAATACAAACATGCATGAATTAAAACATGTTGTTTACAAAATATATGAAAAAAGCATGATGCTGAAAACCACGTACAAAATATATGAAGCCTTGTGTCCACTAGCTTTCATTTCTCACTGTTTCTTGGAACTCCTTTTTTCCTTGGATTTCCACTTTCAGCTGATGCTGTATTTTAAGGGCCATGAAACCACTGTGAGATTCATTCTCGAGTTGGTCCACCTGCCGACTTCTTAGTTCACCAAAATGTATCTGAGAAAAGTGTTTGCAGGCTTACCCTCGATAGCCGAGCGATAAACTTATGGGATGCAGACAGCGATCCAGATACGGTGTTTGTCAGTGTTGTTAGTGCACATGGG